CTCATGCTGACCCAAAAACCCTTTTAAAAAGAATTTTGTTTGGTAATTTGGTCAAACTTTGATAAGTCGGTTGAGATCTATCTCCTCTCTCTCTCTCTCTCTCTATATATATATATATATATATATATATATATATATATATATATATATATATATATATATAGCGGCCATAATATAAGAACAAGACATAAATATGTATTACTTAAAAAGTAATGCATGATTAGCAATGAAATTTTTTACCGAATAAAGATTAGGTGTAATGCATAAATATTATACAAAGTTACAAAAATTTACATAATAGTTTTTTTTTTAATAAAGATTAAATGGAACAAAGGAAATAAGCTACTGGACAAAAGTTATGGAACGATGTTAATAATTTGCATAAACTTTTAATTTACATTGTTAAAAAACTCGATGGAGCTTTTCAACAATAAGTAAAAGTTCATTTATCATTAGGACTTTATTCTTAAGCAATATGGCAAATTCTACACGCAAAACGCTCTCTTTTGAAGAAAAAAACTCATTATCACTAACTATCAAGAAAAAAAGTCAATTTCAGAAATTTCTGATATTGTTCATAGGTCTAAAAGTGTCGTTCATCGTGTAATTAGTAGGTATAAAACCGATAAAACGTTAGATGCAAAGCCAAAAACCGGCAGACCTCCAAAAACATCGCAAAGAGAAGATTGAAGAATTGTTAGAATATCTACAAAAAACCGTTTTGAAACTGCTACATCAATTGCCCGTAAATTTAATGAAGAGACAGATAATAAGATCTCAAGGAAAATGGTTGCTCGCTGGTTAAAAAAATGCAGGATTGCATGCCCGTATTCCAGCTTCGAAGCCTCTCATTTCAAAGCGAAACCAAAGGGCACGCCTGGAGTATGCGAGAGAACATGTTGTTTGGACTGACGCACAATGGGATACAGTTCATTTCAGTGACGAGTCCAAGTTTACTATATTTGGTTCTGAGGGCAAAACTTACGTACGCCGTAGAACAGGTGAAAGACTTCTTCTCAATGTGTCAAGAAAACCGTTAAGTTTGGTGACGGCAGTGTGATGGTGTGGGGAATAATTTCATCTGCAGGAGTTGGCCTTGTCATCCGTGTACATGGCAATATCAATGCTGAAATTTACAAAAGGCTTCTTCAGCAGCATGTGGTACCAAGATTACACCATAATCTTTATGAATCTCCTATTTTCATGCAGGACAATGTACCTTGCCACAAGGCTCAGATGGTTATGGCTTTATTTGAAGAAGAAGGAATCGACCTAATGAAGTAGCCAGCCCAGAGCCCCAACCTGAATCCAATAGAAAATGTTGAGAAGATAATTGGAGAAAGGGCTCAGAAAAGAAACCTGAAAAACCAGGATCACCTATGGGAGTTATTGAAAGACGAATGGGAAGGAATTACTGCTGATTTTTTGCAAGAAATTAATTAGATCATGTTGTCGACGATGCAGAGAAGTCATTGAAAATAAGGGGATGTTTACCAAATATTAAATTTTGTTGATATTTTGTTCAGAATCAAGTATTAGCAAGATCGTTTCTTAACTTTTGTCCAGTAGCTTATTTCCTTTGTTCCGTTTAATCTTTATTTAAAAAAAAAAATATTATGTAAATTTTTGTAACTTTGTATAATATTTATCCATTACACCCTAATCTTTATTCGATAAAAAATTCATTGCTAATCATGCATTAATTTTTAAGTAATACACATATTTATGTCTTTGTTGTTTCCGTTCCTTATATTATGTCCGCTACTGTATATATATATATATATATATATATATATATATATATATATATATATATATATATATATATATTAAAATAATAGGAAAGACCAGTAATATTTATAATCCGGTGTTCTTAGCAATTAATTTTATTTTAAAAAAAACAGTGATCGATACAAACTGTAGAGCATAATATTATAATTAATCGCGACACAAATTTCTGTTACAAAACTGAAACTAAAATTGTAAATTTAATTATAAAACTTAAACTTGAAATCCAGAGTTTCGTTCCATTGTCAAGCGATGCTAGGAATAACTTTCTAAGAAATCTACATAATTTATAAGCGCAGACAATCTTAATATTTAAAATATTAAGATTGTCTGCGCTTATAAATTAAAGTTAGAAAGTTAGTCCTAGCATCGTTTGTCAATGGAACAAAACTCTGATACATGGAAACATAATTTTAAAGAAGAAAAATAATTATACACACACACACACACACACACACACACACACACACACACATATATATATATATATATATATATATATCATATACAAAACTAATGCAAAGGTTAATGATTAGTTTTGTATGAATAATTCATGTATTTGTAAATTGATTGCACGTTTATTGTAATATATATATATATATATACATATATATATATATGAAGAAATTTGAAAAAAACAAACAAAAATCCTTAAATGTAGTTAAATGAAAATGTCGACGTCTGACGTTTCGGTTTTATTAAACCTTTTTTCAAGACAATATTCAAAAAAATTAAAATCAGTTCAATAATAAAAATACAGGAGGACATAAAACACAAGTCTTATTCAGAACAGATAACTGAAAATTTTTTTAAATGATCAGCCTTCCGTCTAATATGATTGATGCTGTCGTCACATGGGCGAGACATAAACACATTCTAAAAGTTTTTGATTATTTTGAATGAAAAAAAATTTCAAACTTTTATATTAGGTTCTAAAATTCTTATGTGTATGCTTGTCCGTGAAAGAAAATTTTCATAATAAAAATCTCAGGAGGATTTATGAAGCAAGTATAATATCCATCTCAAATAAGACCTGGTTTTTTTAATATTTCCCTTTTTAATTGATGCTTGAATACTTTTTAGAACCTAATGAATTTTTTCTTTTTTTCTTTTCATTTCAAAATAATCAAAACTTTTAGGAATACGTTGTTATGAAAGCGTCGCCATTTGACGACAGCGTGATCACATTAGACGGAAGGCTGATCATTTTTTCAAAATTTTCAGTTATCTGTTCTGAATAAGACTTGTTTTTATGTCCATCGTATTTATCATATTGAACTGAATTGTTATTTTGATGAATATTGTCTTGAAAAGGTTTAATAAACCGAAACGTCAGACGTCGACATTTCTTTCATTTAACTACATTTAAGGATTTTTGTTTGTTTTTTCAAAATTTCTTCATTCTGTCGGATTTATATCCATTTACACTTGCTTATATATATATATATATATATTTGGTTTATTTACATTAACTACGAAGATAGCTGAAAAGTTAATTGGCATGATGCTAAAACTGCGAAATCTTGCATGAATTAATGTCAACTCTTCTTAACTGTATTTTTTCTTTCCTAGTACGAGGATAGTCTGAAAAGTTCATAGACTGAATTTGAAGGCATTGTGCTAGAGATGTGGAATCTTGCATACATTAATGTCAACTTTTCTTCTTAATAACTGCATTTATTATTTCCCGGTACGATGATAGGCTGAAAAATTCATAGACTGAATTTGAAGGCATTGTGCTAGAGATGTGGAATCATGCACGCAGTAATATTAACGCTTCTTAATTAACTATATTTTTTTCTTTCCTGGTACGATGATAGGCTGAAAAATTCATAGACTGAATTTGAAGGCATTGTGCTAGAGATGTGGAATCATGCACGCAGTAATATTAACACTTCTTAATTAACTATATTTTTTTCTTTCCTGGTACGATGATGGGCTGAAAAGTTCATAGACTGAATATGAAAGCATGGCGCTCGAGCTGTGAAATCTTGCATGCATTAATTTCAACTAATCCTATTAATAATTGCATTTTTCTTTACAGGTAAACTGACATCTTACGGTCCATCAAAAATGGCGTCAACAACAGATATGATGTCATGTTCACTGAAATACTAGTTCCCAGCCATGTGGTTTTGCGTTTTGGGGAACAGATGGTACATTAGTTGAGCAAGGCCAAAAATTGGTCAATCACAGCTAGTGTGGGTATCTACCAACCCTCTCTCTTTAGTGCAATGAGTGAGATGCAACACAGGGTTGAAATTCCCGGTACCAGGCATCCCTAAATTTTTTTCCTTAAGCCGCAGAAACACATCGAGAGGAGGAAATCGGATATCAGACTTTGATCCAGTATTTACTCGTCGCCTCCATGGTGGCGGTATGTGACATTAGGTTCTTTTGTAGGACCCATAAGCGTGCATATGGCTAAGAGCAAAAATTGGCTAGTGCCCGTGACTACCGGAATGCTGGCGTTGGCATCGACCAACCTTCTTTCTTTAGTGCAACAAGTGAGGTGCTACTGCTGGGTTGGAATCACCGGGACTAAATATCTAAAATTTTCTATGAACTGTCCGGAGACAGAAATACGACAGCGAGGAGAAGGAAAGATACTACGCTTTGATTCCAGCCCGAAAGCCGGAAAAGGCGTTGATCTCGGTAAATAACCCGAAACGTTAAACGCGAGAAAGAGAATGAAAATTCCTTGACGGTGAAGAAATAATGTAATACACAAATAAGCGATCTCTCTCTCTCTCTCTCTCTCTCTCTCTCTCTCTCTCTCTCTTCTACAGTGGATGTGCATACGTGTCTGTGTGTTTTTGTGCTAATTTTACATACAAACGGTGTACATAGTCGTTCCAGCACACGGTACCCGCCTACTTGCGCACGTGCGTGCTTTTATATTTTAAAATCTTTATTTATGTATTTTCTTAATCCTCAGCCGTATTTCACTTTATCTTATTTACGGCGGATGCTATCAGATCTTCGCTTGTAAATTCGCGGTGGATAATTCTGAATCTTTTCCCATCCGCCAATTTTCAAACAACTGTATCCATTTCAATGATCACATTTTCACTCTTTTTCTTCTTCTGCCTTCCCTGTTTTTTCCCATTTTTCTTTTTCCATCTTTTAAAAAAAATAGATTTTATGCTGTAAGTCTTATAGATAGATAGATAGATAGATAGATAGATAGATTTAAACAACACGGACGTCATACCTTAGGTACCTTTCGGCCAGCACTTTTTCAAAGGTATTCGTTGGCGATTGGGAATACAAATGAAGACACAATTAATAAAATTAATGAATGAGGAGAGAAAGGTGGAAATGCCCGTAGAAACTGTAAAAACAGAATCGGGTTGGTCAACCTCCCCGAACGAGTCTCTACCCTTCGGTGAAGCCACGTCCGGGTTCATCTCTGCTCGGAGGCAAAGAGTTCGACCGTCAAGCCGAGAAGCTCGACTTGAATCGGTGTCTAGCCACCCCGCCACGAGGTTTGCATGTGGCACAAGGCCGAGTTTAACGTGGGTTTACCGAGCCCATAAGCTCGACCAAAAAATGCCCGTAGAACCCGTATAAACGGAATCGGGTTGGTCAACTTCCCCGAATGAGACACTGCCCTTCGGCGGAGCCTCGTCCTGGTCCCTCTCTGCTCAGAGGCAGAAGTTCGACCGTCAAGCCGAGCTTCTCGGCTTGATTCGGTATCTAGCCACCCACCCACGAGGGTTGCATGTGGCACAAGGCCGAGTTTGACGTGGGTTTCCCGAGCCCGTAGGCTCGGCCAAAAAATGCCCGTAGAACCCGTATACACGGGATCGGGTTGGTCAACCTCCCCGAACGAGACACTGCCCTTCGGCGGAGCCTCGTCCGGGTTCCTCTCCGCTCAGAGGCAGAGTTCGACCGTCTAAGCCGAGCTTCTCGGCTTGATTCGACCCTCCTCTTGAGAGGCGTAGTATACATAGTGTTAGGAAGAGTTCATTCTGTAGTTATAGGTAAGGACCCATGACACTATGTTTCATTTCTGTGGGTACAAATCACTTTTTTATATATATATATATATATATATATATATATATATATATATATATATATAGCTGGATACTCGTATTCGAGGATTCCCATCCACTAGGGCGGTTAGCAGACGCTCGCTCAGGCACATTTGTGTTTGCTCAACACCCACAGAGCCGACCTGTGGTTTCTACTGCAACTATGCTGAGCAGACCGGTTACAGTTTCTGAAAGAGAGCGTGTTATCTAGCGTGATCAACAATGTGAACAAGGCCATCACGCTCAAGCCCTCGGGCACAATAACTTCTGGCTTTGTGCGAGCACAGCTATCGAAGGCCCTCAAGAGTTTTGCTACCTAATTTCACTCACAAGGCTTGGGTCAACCTGTGATATGGTTTTCAGGCACTTTCCATAAGTGCCACAAGCACGCATATATATATATATATATATATATATATATATATATATATATATATATATATAATAAAAAGGCTTAAACACTAATATTCCATGGTCATAATTTATTCCATTGGAATCGTAAATACGATCCAAATCATCAGACCTACAAATTCAAAATATATATATATATATTGTATGTATATATATATATTGTATGTAGAGAGAGAGAGAGATCAATAGATATTCTAAAGAGGTGGTTACCCCCGCCCTCCCTTGTCTGACAGGTTTTTCCTAACGCCCACTAGGTGGCGTTATATAAAACAGTATGAAAGAAAGGACACAAACTCTCTTTTATTGCACTCTTCAACCACAGGATATTGTAGTAACAAGTCGTGTCTCGTTTACACGCCCTGGTGAGATCTTGGCACCCAAGCGAACAACGTATAGGATACAAGCCTCTTTAATACTATAAGAAAAATCATACAAGCAACATCACTACTGCAAGTATAACACACACACACACCCATACACACACACACACATATATATATATATGTATATATATGAATAAAAAGACAAGAAGAAAAACTATTCTTAGTCGACGCGTTTCATCTTATTAGAGACTTTATCAGGTCAAATGTAAGGATTTATTTTGTTTCGTGTGTTTATATACAAGAGCATAGATGACATTGATTCATCAAAGCTTTAGACGTTCTTGAATATTCATCAGGTGGTTGAAAGATCAGTCAAAACATTTTCTGCAACAAAATCAATCCTTAGATTTGCCTTGATAAATTCCCTCAGAGGACGAAACACGTCGGCTAAGAATAGTTTTTCCTCTTGTCTTTTTATTCATAATTTATATATATATATATATATATATATATATATATATATATATATATATATCGATAATACCACAAGTTGGGGTACTGGGTGTGAACGAATCTAAGAAAAACATTAAGAAGATAGATAAAAAAAAACTGAATTAAGTAAACGGATGTCACTTGACATTATATTTACATTTTTGAAGATCAAAGTTGATCGGAAAGCAGGAAGCCGGAAAAGTGTTCGACAACTAAAAAGTGCGAACTTATGATTGCAGCTATCAATTCCACGTGTAAAATGATGAGACCTAACAGTCAATCTAGTACTGCGTTTACATTGAGGTATCAAAGAGGAAATCAGAACAATTACCGTGAAAATATTTATAGAAAAAGTACAGGGAAGCTACGTTACGACAGTGGGAATGTAAGTGAAGCCAAGATGCCAGGTCATAAACGATAATATTACAGGATTCTTCTTTGGATTTTGTCAGTAATCTCTAAATACATAACAGAAAAACAAGACCAAATATGACAGCAATATTATAAGACCCAGCTGCCAATCTAGTACTGTTTAAATTCCTAAAGTCGAGATACCAAATATGTATATATTAAACAAGAGGAAATATTCTAGTTTAACAAACGCGCCAAAGCCATTATGAATTGAACATACGTAATAAACTGATATTATGTAAGAAACTAGCGCTCTAATATTACTACAAGTTTCTCAACAAAACACATTGTTAGTCACTTTTACACTTACAGACGTTTAATAAAACGTTGAATAATTAGTGTTGCACCCAATTCTGTATATAAAATCCATGTTTATCTTGAAAATGTTGAATTGCTGTTTGAGAAACTTGTAATGATATTGGAGTACCATTTTGTTACATACGTTCAATTTATTACGTATTTGCCATCTCTACTATAGTAAGTTTGTTTTCAAACTTATGGTCTTGTACCGAACTATCCTTTAATATTTATGTTGTATGAATACGTGCCAGTTTTCTAAAAAAAAATCTTCTTTCACTTTCACTTTAAAAGATTTGACTAAGACACGTGCCAGTGTCTTACATGAAATTATGTGTTAGACACTTGGCGTAGAATGAAAGTTAACGAGGTTATTTTTCCGAGTTTTGTCAGTGGGTTCAGCATTCTCCAGGTGTTTTTTTTTTTTTCTTGTAGCCGTCTACCAGAACCTGCTAAACATGTATTTTATGATGGAATCATGATTGTATGATTTTATATGGATTAATAATATCGTCAAAGGAAAAAATACTTAACTTGTTTTTTGGGGTTTTTTTTTCTGAATTCATTTACTGTTTTACCGATGTCGGCAACACTCCGGTCTTAATTTCAGTTTATTACGTATGTTCAATTTATAATTTATTTTATCCCTGTACCTTTTCTATAAATATTTTCACGGTAATTGTTCTGATTTCCTCTTTGGCACCTCACCTTTAAAACTTTAAGCGCAGTACTAGATTGGCTGTTATGTCTCATCATTTTACCCTTGAAACTGATAGCTGCAATCTATAAGTTCGCACTTTATTTGTTGAACACTTTTTCGGCTTCCTGCTTTCCGATCAGCTTTGATCTTCATAAATGTAAATACAATTTCAAGCGACATGTGTTTCTTTAATTCCAGTTTTTATTGTTCTATCTTCTTAATAATATTTTTCTCAGATTCTTTCACTTTCAAGGACGCACTCCAATTTTGAATTGAATAGATAAGTAAAAACGATTAAACGTTGGATGATGTAAAATGAAAATTACAATTTTCGGTTTGTAGGAAGCATGATGATTTCTTTTAGTTTTATTTCTGGGGTAAAGAAAGATAAGGCTTTTGAATAACAATGATATCAACAATGAAAATATAAACGAAACCAAAATTGATATTTTCACAATAGGGTTATGGTTAAAAAGCTGGAGGCACACGCCATCTCTACTATAGTAAATTTGTTACACTTAGTTCTCAAACTTGTGGTCTTGTACCAAACTAAGTTAAACTTACTAAGTATCGATAAAAATAACTATTGTACTTTCCAACATATAATACGCACCAGCATATAAGATGCACCAATAATTTGGCAAAGGGTATTTAAGGAAAAACTAAAACTGTAATTATAGCACTTGTTTCTTTTTTTTTTTTTTTTTTTTGACTTAATGAACACTCGTTGTCACTTCCGTAATATTCGTTGTAGTAGAGACTTTGTAGTCGCAGACACAACTTATAGCAACGCCGTTGAGTAATATTAGTGTCAGACGCCTTCGAATATCACTCGCACTAATAGTACTTGCTCGATAATACTCACACTAATAGTACTTCGAAAAGTAATCCGTATAGTGATTAATATAGGGAGTAGTGTAGAAATAGGGAACAGTATAGAGAATAGTGAACCGCATAGTAAAAGAAGATAGACTAGAAAAAGGTAATCCGTATAATAACAGAGGATAGAATAGAAAGTGGGATCAGTTAGACGTCACGCTACTTTCTATTTATGCGTTTTTCTCTATGGTCACGTGATCTACTTAATTCAGTAATGGGGTCGCCCGTGTTTGAGCACTGGCGATCTATGTTCAAACTCGTGTGTCGGCAACGACAGTTTATTCCTATAGAACATTTTTCAAGTTATTTAGATTTGTAATCATAATTAGAAGGAGGCACGATGGTGTAATGGATAATGGCTCCGGTTGAGGAATCGGAGAGCCGAGTTCGAATTCCAGTCGAATCCATTACCTTTCAATTACGTGCTAATATCCTTGGGACAGGTATGAATCCTCCTCTTCTCCCCCCCATCTATGGGTAAATAGCAAGACAGACCGGGTTCTATAGCCTTGGATGGTAACTGGTCTACCGCAGAAAGAAATGGCAAACTACTGCGGGGAAAAATCTGCCTCGTCAGTCATGTATCGAAAGATACATGATCACCTAAGCATACACGCTTAGGTGATCATGTATCTTTCGATAGGTGATCATGTATCTTT